CGACGGCGCGAGGGGGCATCTTCTTCTTAACCCTTTAAGAACTAAAGGAAGTGTTTCCTAAAATAAGGACAATAATTTCCTTTCTTCTACCAATATGGTAAAAATGACTTTTCATTTGCACTTTGCAATGGCTTTTCATTTTTTCCTCCAAAATTGGTTCCCCCACTTTCATTGGTTCCTCGACTTTCCATTTTCTCTTTTTATTTCTCATTCACACCTTGCTAAACCCAACAACTACTCACTAGAATAACACAGAGAGGCATTGACTTTGGAGTTTCAGGGAAAAACGAATCGTTGAATTGTCAATTAAAGGTGACGTATACTCAGGAAAAAAAATGTATTCACAGTCAGATCTTCACATGAAAAACCTCTTTTACAATAGGTATTGATTTAGTACTATTTGATAGATTGTAGAATATACAATACTTTTCCCACATCTAAAATGATATTAAACAGAGACGTGGATTTTTTTAAAATCCTAAACAGGCTATGCATTTTGAACTGTAAATATATTGAAGAATTTAATCATGCTAATAGTAGCACATACTGTTAAATTTTTGAAAGTCTGCCTAGCCTAAGCCATGGAACCACATGAAGTTGTCTTAAGTAGACCCAAAATTAAAGAAGTAGAATACATGGGACTGGAGTCAATCCAAGCAGGGTTGAACCATGCATTATAAAAATGTCATCAACTTAACGATAATGTAAGGAAATGTTACAATGTAAGCATTTAATATAACTTAACAATAATGAAAGGGCCTGAACTAAAATAATATGTCTTTTCTTTGAATGACTGGATAATACTCAACGAGCTACTTCTAGTTCAAGAAAAAGAAAAAAGAAAGGCAATATTACAACCTCAACTCCATGTGTACATCAAAATGTTGTTGTCACTCGTTATCAAATCATGAGTTATATATTGCTTAACCAATAAATGGCTTTGAGAATGAATCTTATTCCCATGGTGGGAAAATTCAAGATGTATACTTGTACTTGTAGATACAGATCATAATCATAAAGTAATAAAGCAACACAGATAGAACAAAACCAATAAGACTAGGGCCAAATTTTCAACAGACTTAGATGTGACAAAGCTAATATTTTGTAAGTCATTGTATTAAAGTTACAATAGATTATCAAAAAGATGATATATAGAGTTCCTCCTTGCTACATTTTTTTGCAAAGATTGTATAGTGTCCTATGTACATAAAAGGTCAGGTCCTCGGCCATTCCTGTGGTTATAAAAAAGTTAGTATTTTGAATTCATATTAGTGCTACAACTACTGTGTTTTGACTAGAACAACAAAAATAATAAAGAAAATGGGAATAAGGAAACCTAATCTCTATAGTTTACACAAAAAATTGTATCATATTATATGGTAGAATTACACTTGTTGACACCCAAGTTTGGCTCTCAACATGTAACTAAAATAATAATATTAATAAATAAATATATATGTTATGAAAGTTTTATAGGGATACGAAAATATTTTTATTTATTTTTTAATTGATAAATTTATTTCATAAATGTTATTTCTTATAAAAATTAAATATATTATATTACTACTTACTTTCTCATTTTTAAATAAGTGTCGTTCTTAAGAATTGAGTCTATTTTTTGTTCAAATATAATTTCTTTTGTCGCAATAGATATTTTTAGTACATTGTTTAAAATTAGAAAGCTTAATTAATTAATGAGTTACTAATTTGTATTAATTTAATTTTAAGAGTGACTAATTTTATCAAATAAGCTAGTTTTACAAAAATAATTATTTTTAATTTAATAAATTATAGTTAGTTAATAAAGAAGAGGTCATAATGAATTTAATTTGAACAAAACTTGGCAATCCAAGTCCCCTTAAACCGGCCAATAATCCGTGTGTGCCACGTAGGCGAGCACATGGATTATGCTTCTTAACTTTTAATCTCAACCCTATATTTTAATCCAATGGCTTTAATTAATTCATCTTTTTAATATATAATTATTATCAAATATATATATATATATATATATTATTAATCTTTTTTAACCCTTGATTTTTATTAACCGTTAGATCAAACGATCGGACAGTCTAGATCAAACCAAAGACTTTTAGACCTCTACCACCGCCCCTATACTCTGTTTTTCCAGAAATCACGTTCTTCTTCCAGAACGTCTTCTCCATCACGATCACCCTCCACACCTCTTTCTCTTCCCCAAAAACCAACGCCCCAAGCTCCTCTCCCATGGCTTCCATCACCTCTCCCCACGTGATCCCCCATCTACCTCTGTCAGAGAAATGACTCTGTGCCACCGGAAAAACGCTCCCTCAATCACTCATCCTCTCAAATCGACCTGAAAAGGTTGATTCTTGAAAGATTTCTTGCCCTCTTCATTATAATTTTTCTGTTCTTCCTCAGACTTGGCTTCCCAAGAATTCAAAATTTGAATTCTTGAAGCCAAGTGGAAGTTTGAATTCGGCTATAAAAACAGACCTTTGGTTCTCATAAAAAGGACCCATGAACATTCAGAAATCATCCAGAAACAATCCAGAAATCCAACAAAGAATCCAAGGAAACAAACAAGGATCCGAAAATCTTTTGTTCTCTGTTTTCGTTCTTCTTCGAGTTGAAGTTCGAGTTCGAAGTTGAAATTTTTTGACGTTGAAGCTCTTGTTTGCTGCTCTATACAAGGTCAGTATTATCCCCTATTTTTAGTTGTTTTTTTTTCATGAATCAATTATGGTTGTTTAAATGTCCCCATCTTTGATTTAGTTTGGTTTTGTTTTGTTTTTTTTATGTTTTTTTTTGTGTTTCTAGAATCTTGCCTCGATTTAGCTTGATTTGAAAATTAGTCTGTGAATAGTTGGTAAAATGTTGTGATACCTGTATCTTGTTAGAATTCAGAATTCAAAAAAAAGAAAAAGAGATGACTAAGGGTCTTGTCTTCAACACAATATTCTGTTAACAAATCAGTGCCCAAAGTTGTCAATATAAACTACTCCCTCCGTTTCACAAAGAATGACCTGGTTTGACTTAGCACGGAGTTTAAGTAAATAAAGAAGACTTTTGAATCTTGTGGTCCTAAATTAAAGTTATGTCAAATGTACAAAATCGCCCTTAATCTTGTGGTCTTAAACATGCCACGTGGAAAGCAAAAAGTAAAATGTTACCAAAAAAGGAAAGAGGTCATTCTTTTTTAAACTGACTAAAAAGGAAAGGAGGTCATTCTTTGTGAAACGGAGGGAGTACTGGATTTTTGAGAAGGCTATATGACGTGTTAAATGAAACTAAACAAATTTGGACATAACCATTCCCCTTTCGTTTGAGCCTAACTATGCTGGTGACTGATCCACTCGTTTCGTTGCAGGCGTTTAGTTATGAAGTGTTATGATGTTAACCTGTTGTTAAAATTCTCAAACTAGTACTTTCAATGATCTTCTTAGCTTTATTCCCTCGTCAAAAATAAAAAATAAATAAAATTTGTTCTTGCAATGTTATTAGATTAATTTGCCATGTGACCAGATGTCCTTATTTTTCTATTAAAGCATGGTGTGATTAAGGATACCAATACCCTTCTGTTAAAAATCATGTTGGAGGGTAAATAACTTGGTTACCTACCTTATTTACATGATTTAACTAAGTGTCGAGCTTTGTTAGGAAAGAGTTATCATGTCTAACTTGAATCCCTATTACGTCCCATCTGTTCGCACTAACAATTCAGACGTCTTGTTTATAGAATCTCATTAAGTTTAAAATGACTATGTTATTTCGAGTGGTTAAGCATGTTTGATATTTTACAGTCCTGTTAGCATAAACATTTGTCCTCTGTTAAAGTTCTCCATTAAGAGACCAATGCGAAGTCCTCTCCTCTCTATTTTATTTCCGTCGTTGATGTTTAATATGTGAAATTATTTCTTTTCTATCTTGACTTTGTAATGCATATCTACTAAGCATTGTCAGAACTCATACAAACCAATTGGATTAACTCTTACTCTAGGATAATCGATTTTGATCTATTTTTCCTCCTCGTGTTTCATATTTTCTGACAAAATTTTGCTTCTGCATCATAAATGGTGTAAGTCAGGTTGTTATTTGCCATGTCTAAACATCCATAGCTCTTCCTTGTTTCTGCTTTATGCCTATTTTGGGTGATTAACTTGGCTAAACTTACACTTTACTCTTTTGTCACAACGTGTGTGATTATTAAATTCAAGCATATAAAATAGTTGATATGGATCAGGATCCTTGCCCATGTCTGTCACAATGTGTGTGTTTAAATGCCATATATGGGTAGGAGGACATCTTTATGTCTTAAAATTGAGACAAAATTTACCTTGATTATCTAATGGATATTCTGGTGTTTGTTTGAAATTTTTTGAAGCGCCTAAAGTGCAATATTTGCTTGCTGGAAATCTGCCTACAAGCAGATCTTTGAATCCCCTCTTTTATACCCGAAAATAACAGAATACCTTGGAATCTTATCTAGTATTATGAACTAGTAAGGGATGACTTTTGGTTTATCATTGAGTTCTTCATGTATTAACAAGGATTAAAGCTTTAAAATCTTGTATCGTATATCCTTAAGTCCCTTTGATCAAAGATATGACTATAAGAGAACGAAATGCTAAATGAACCTAAATACGTTGATACTAGGCTGTTGCACGTATCTGTTTATACACGACTATTTCTTTTATCTTATGAATTAGATAGATGAAGTTTACTTTTGTCAAGACCCAATTTCTCAGGTCCTGATGGCGCCTACTATATGACCCACCAGTAGGCAAGCCGACCTATATCCCGGAACTCGAAGTAATGGGATGTTAGGGTAGAAAACCAACCAATCAACCTAAAATAGTAATAAATATAACAAGAACATGCAATGAACGGGTGGAAGCGACTAGACATAAATACACAAAATGAATTCCTCCCAAAACCTGGAAGTCACAAGTACAGAGCTGCTAACAAAAGTACAAGTCCTAAAAACGGACCACAGAAACAAGCTGTCTAAAAAGGCAAAAGACAAGCAAAGGTAAGTACAGAAGGAGACGGGCAAATCCATGACGTTGTGTGCTCACCCTTGCCTCCGATCACGACCGCAGCTGGCTCGAATCAACGTCGGTAGCTAGTACTCAGACCTGCATCACGAAAATAGATGCAGAGTGTAGTATGAGTACCAAAACAACAGGTACCCAGTAGGCATCAGGCCGACTGAGCAAGATAAGCAAAAGTGAACTGAAATGCAAATAAAGGGTCACAATCAAGGGTAAAAGAGTAGTAAATGTGGGTATGTACACGAGCGTTCAAGCAACAAAGACAAGGAATCTAACTAACTCCGTCGGGCTCCCATAAACCCGACGGGTACACTCATGCATAATAAAAGAAACCACCTGCACGGACCCCCATAAGCCCGACAGATGCACCGGCAGTTGAAGTAAAATAATGGAGCTAGAAGGTCTATCACAATATTACCAATTTCCGGATGTTAACAGAACCATTCCCAATTATATTCCAAGATCTCATTACGTCCCGGACTTTAATCGGAAAATCTGCAAACTCCAATACCTCAACCTACAGATGAGAGTAATCAAAACTAAACTGAAGCTTTAGTGAGGAATTGGGAATACACCACGGACTCGAACCGGGTACTATAGCTAATGAGGCAACCTGTATCGGCTGGACCACAGACTCGAACCGGGTACTATAGCTAATGAGGCAACCTGTATCGGCTGGACCACAGACTCGAACCGGGTACTATAGCTAATGAGGCAACCTGTATCGGCTGGACCACAGACTCGAACCGGGTACTATAGCTAATGAGGCAACCTGTATCGGCTGGACCACAGACTCGAACCGGGTACTATAGCTAATGAGGCAACCTGTATCGGCTGGACCACAGACTCGAACCGGGTACTATTCTGCTATATCAGTCTACGAGGAGCTGACCATCCGAAACGACGTCGGAAAAAGTTCTAGTGCCCAACGACATCCGAAACCTCGCAAGTCTATGGCAACACTAGTCTAAGCCTAGACTAAGGCCAAACATATTTCAAATCAATATTATCATATACACCACAAGGTATGGATGTTCAATAATATCAAGAGTCATGCTGTCATAATCTAACAATTTCCCGAAATAAGGTCTAAGGCAGGAATTATAGAAATTTAGCATGCTCCACACCCGAACCCCTCCATACTCAAGCAAATCAATAAACAATTGCCTAAACATGCTCAATCTCACGAGGGGAAAACCATAGCCTACCTGAAAGCCGATCACGCGTGCTCCAACTCACGGTACCGGAGCTTTTCCTCTCCGAACGGTCTCCAAATGCTTCCCCACTATCAAAAGGTTAATCACCCTGTCATTACGAATATGTTGACACTAAAATTATATTTTTCGGAGACGGACCCAAAATCGGGTCTAAAACGGGATTGTGGGGCCCACACTTAGAATCTCAAAATCGAATCCGTGGAAACGTCCCAACTACCTTACTAAACTAATATCCCAAAATTTTAGCACAAACAGATGCCTACAACACCGCAAATCAGCCACAATAATTAAAAAGGGCAGCCCCTTGATCACCAATTTTCGGAAAAACGAAACCCTTTCAACCCAAACAGATTATACCACGACGATCCTTGCGAAAAACTTTACAAGTTAGCCCCAAGAATGACTTAAAACGGACTTACGATGATCAAGATCTCACATTTCAAAATTCAAATACAAAACCAACCGGAAATCACACTGGCAGTGGCTAAAATTGATTTCTTACCTCAAACGAAGCCTCCCCTCGCGTTTCCGAGCTCACCTCTAGATTCCCCATGAAATTCTCTTGAAATTAGCCTTTTGAATCACCTAATTTGAGCTTAAAATGGAGTAGATATCTATGTTTGAAGATGAGGAAAGAAAAATGGACGAAAATTGTCCTTAAATCTGGAAATTTCCAGATTTCAACACGCTGCCACATGGCGTCGCGTGGCTCTGCCACGTCACCACTGCGTTAGAATTCAACAACTCTTTAAACTTAAATTTCGATGTTCCGGACTCGTTCGGAGTCAAAAAAAACACAAACCATATATGGAATTTGATTGAAAATGATATTTCGGACTCAACAGTGAAGTCAGAATTTCCATTGGAGATCGCTTCGATGAAAAGTGGGTCCCACACCCAGTATCGTTTTGAGCCAGATTCCACAACGGGCATCTAAAGCCTCGGGAAGTGAACAAAGGGTTGTTCTAGACCAAAATCGATATTCCAAAGCTAACCTAGCTGTCAGAATTTTCATCTGAGCACGTCTTCCAAGAAGGTTGACCAAAGTAAACTTTTCAAGTTATAAAATCTCCAAAACAGGGAAACGGGCCTAAAACCCAAACGAACGACCAGGCGACCGAACAGTCAGTGCCAGCAAGTCATAAATGACTTGGGGTCACTATAGGAACGCTCTAAACGATGGAATGAATGCTTTAATTTAAAAATGACCTGGAGGGTCATTACAACTTTAGCCATACTTAATAACCGGTAGAAGTAGTTATAGTGTCCTATCTTTATTTTGTATAAACTATGTAAATATTTGTTGCGCCATTCTTCAGAGACCATTTGTGTTTGCCCCTTTCTATTAGCCTCAAAAGGATGTGTATATATATATTCTTAAGACATACTTAAAGCTCACTTCATGGTGTAGAAAATACATTTTACAATTACGTACTCCAAATCTAACTTACGAAAAGAGGCTGTTCTGTAAAATATCATGTCTATTAGAATGTGATTGCTGGTACAAGTTAACTCACTTCATTTTGATTTGCTTCTCATAAGCTCATTTGCTAATTTTTCTTTTTTTTTCCTTTTTTTTTTTGTACATGTACACTTGGGAGCACATTTGGAGTTGTGATACGACTCTATTCATCTGTCCAAATCAGATTTGTGCTCGCCTACATTATCGCTTGTGTCTAGCAGCCCCATCGCAACGATAGTGTCTAGCGCCTTTTCTTCTCTTTATGAATTTATGTCCTTAAAATATACATAATTTTTGCTTCTAATTAACGTTACAGAATTGCAGCTTTATGTTTGATATTTGCTCTTGTTTATCGTGTTTTGTAGAGGACATTATGCATGCTATATTAGTGAGCTTATGTCATTTCCTCAATTAATGTCACACTTGTGGTGATGCCACACATAGAATGTTACGACTATTATTTGTTTTCAACCATCCGTTACTAACAACATTTGTAGCTGTCTTTTACTCAGAATAAGAGTCCAGAATGTAGATTCTAAAGGTTTTAAAAGTGCAGATTTTTTTATTTATTTTTTTAGCTTAAAAGGGGGCAGATTTTGAGAGCCTTGAGGGGTAACAATTTGAACATTAAAATGCACATTTTGAGTGCAATAAAACACATCTTTCTTACAACTTTGTAAGTGTTTGGAATTTAGTACGTAGAAGTGATTATGTTTTAGAGTAATAATACAACTTTTTGAGAACTTTAAAATGGGTAGATTAGTTGATAGAACACAACTTTCAAATGGAATACAATTATTATTTTCTTTAAAAAACAAAATGGCCTAAAATTTGGTCCCCATCCTTTAAGTTAGTTTTTTTTTTTTTTTGAAAAGCCTTTACCCAATAAATTATATCCATTTTTAAGCCCTCTGGCTCGTTAAAAAATAATAATTAAATCTTAACTAATTTTCTCTAAGATTATAATAGACATTGTTTGATTCTCGAAATTGTTTATAGTTATCCTTTTATAAAATCTTATAAATTGACACTTTCTTTTAAAACTAGTTTATATTATGTTAATATTTTCTCTTAAACCCCTGTTTTATAAGTTCTCTTTTAATTAATCTAATTTTGGTCTGTTAACGATTTTTAAACAAACCCTTTTTAAAATAAAAGAGCTTTCAATCTCTCTCCCTTAGGATAATTAGGATCTCTTACCTAGAATTATATAAGTTTTAGTAGACCCTTAATAGAAATTAACATTAACATTATTTAGTCCAATATTTAGATGCCCTAATTCTTCATCTTTGAAATAATTAGGCGATTTTTAGACCCTTCAAGACTAAAGGTGGAAGAGTGATGACTTGGCGTGGGTAACCAATAGTTAGGCCCATTTTTATTTTTTTTACATTAACCCTTTCAAAAAAAAAAAAAAAAATTAAAAAAATAAATAAATAAATATATATATATATATACACCATTATTTCTTTTTAAAAAAAAAAATTGAATATTACTAAAAGATTTTAAATTTCTTAACATATTATTTCAAGATTTTAGATATGCTAACAAGTTCAAAATACAAGGTACATACATATATATGTCATATGCAAAAAGGTACAAATCCTATATTTTTCAGTTTTCTTTATACGTAATTCATTATTTTGTTACACTTCATATTATTTTTTTCTCATATCTACTATCTCTTTTATTAATATTATTTATTTATTTATTATAATTTATAAATCCCTACACTTAAATATACATATTATTTTGCTACATATAATCTATCGTCAGTTTGTCCATAGATGTAAATAAGTAATAAGTGTTCATATGTTTTAAGCAACTTACATATATATACTACACTTTATAATAAACATATTTAAGATCACAAACTTTTGCATAATATTTTAACATTTAGTATCATTATTATTTATTTAATTAAACTTCATTTTTCACACATACCACTCTATATATTTAAACCCGATTATAATCTTATTTTATTTTTACTGTTTAATTCTATATATAAATAAAACAACAAATAAGACACATCTATTTTTGACATATAAATTTATCGTACATTTAAGTACATTTATTTATTTATTTTACAATATGATAAAAAATATATATATATATGTCGTACCTTGTATTCTACCCCTTTTCTTAAACTAGCTAATTAACTTATCATTGATTATTTTTTTAAGCAAATAAATAAACAAATTTTCCTAATTATATTTTGTTAAATTGAGTTTAAGGACTACTTCGGATAGGCTCTGAGGGATGCTTAACACCTTCTCCTCGAGTAACCAAAACTCTTACTCAGAATCTCACTGGTTTCACAGATCAAAACAGAGTTTACACTTACATAAAAAATGATTTTCCTAATATTCCCCTTAAAATTTAGGTGGCGACTCTAAAACAAAAACAAAGCAATTATTTTTTCTTCCACAAATCAGAGTGTCAGCCATATTATGTTGTGAACTGTTTCGGCTAGTTCGAAATAGGGTGTGACAACACTTGTGAAGGATAATGAAAATTTTGTCCTAGAAACTATCATATTGACAATTTATTCAATAATTATCACTATTGCATCTTCTTTTGTTGTCAATTGAGGCTACTGCAGAAAGTACACACAAACATATGCTTGCAATGACTATTATACATAATTTAAGATCATGTACACCAAAAACCTACTGAAAACAACTAGATTATTCATAAAGAGTAAACATAAAATTGGACAAAATCAGAATTTTCACCTAACAAATCATAGTCAAAACAAAAGAACATACTTTAAAAAGAAGGGAACTCCAAGAAGATGCAAAATTATTATCACACACAGCAAAGAACAACAACAATCAGGTGAAATTTAAAGTAAAAAACGAAAGCTAACTTCTGCAATTAGAAAAAAATAGGCGTTGATTTCCTTTATAAGAGTTTGAACAGATACCTGGAGCTAAAGGTACCACAAATTTTGTGGTCTGTTTGCTGATTTTTCTCCAACAAATTAGTTCTCTGAGTTATCTCCTTTAGGTATCTCACTTTCTAGCGGAAGAGAAGGGCGATGTGTTGAGAAACTTCTGTATCTCTTCTAAGGGGTGGAGAAGGTGGCGTGCGTGGTGTAAGTTTGTGAGCGGAAAAATCGAGAATATCGTTCATATCTGAAGCTTGGTGTTCTCACGGAGGGGGTGGGGTAATAGGAGACCGACATGTCTGATGGGAGTGGGTAGGGTAATAGAGAGGAGTAATAAGTTATTTATTAAAAATAAATAAATTGTTAAAAATAAAATGGGTTGTTAATTAAAATAAAAGTATGTGTCATTATTTTATTATTAACGTATGGGTATTAATTTTCTTAAGGTCTGAATATTGTCCTTTCGTTAATATTATATTAAAATTGCCTTTTAACGACAGGAAAAAAATTATGACGTAATATATATACACCTATAACGACTGGATTTATATTCTTTCGTTAAAGTTTGGTCGTTTAAAATCAATTTTCCTGTAGTGTAAGAGATTGAGTCGGTTAGTTTAGATATTTTGTCACGCCCCGAGCCTACACCCTGGATGTGGCCGGCACTCGAAGACCATTGCTGGCCCCAAGCGAACCCTTGGCCTGGTTTTCTTAACTCAGCGGAAACCTAACTCAACAAAATAACTCAATGCCATGCAAGGTTATAAAACAACCTAACTGATAACATCTGACCAAAAAGGCAACTCGAGTCCCAAAATAGAATATTTACATATATACATAGATGAGAGACTCAAAACTATCTAACTGACTGTCTGTCTATGAGGCGTCTAAAATACTGAGATGGATGTTGGGACAGACCCCGCAACATCCTAACAAAACAAAACTAAGAACACAAAATAACAGAGTCCTTCGGAAGACAAGGAGGCTCACCACTGACTCTGGAGTACTCAGCTGGATCAAAGGTGTGCTGGATGCTGATCCTGGGTACCTGTATCGCATAAGCATAAGATGCAGGCCAACTGGCATCAGTACATTGAATGTACGAGTATGCGAGCTGGAAAACTAAGCAACAAAGGCTAGCAGGAAGATCTGGAAGAAACTGCAATAGCTTACCTGGCTCAACTCAACTCAACCTGACTGACTCA